GGAGACCTTCCCTTAAATATTTCGTGGTATTTTAATAAACAACCTACAGGAAAGTATCCAGGCTTATCAGTAACGCCAATTGGGAAACGTGGAAGCACCTTAACCATAGAGTCAGCTTCTTATGAAACTGCCGGAAGTTACACTTGTAGAAGTGATAATTCTGCAGGATTTGCAGAACATACAGTAGATCTTTTCGTTAATGGTTTGTCATTACAAAAATTTCTTTTTGTATGCTTAAATCTTCCTCATACCAAACACAACCTGTTCCTAACGAAATGAATTTATCGCATAGGATTTTTTGGCCCAAAGAATTTTGTGCTTATAGATACATTTTCTAGATTTTAAAAACGAAATAACGTTTACTATATTATAGTTAATTAATTTCTTAGTACCTCCAAAAATTAGTCCTTTTGATTTCGATCAAAATCCTGTTCGATCTGGCGAAGTTGTTATGGCGACATGTACGGTATCTCAAGGTGATCTTCCCCTAAACATCACGTGGATTTTCAATGGAAAACCCCTCATACAACATTCCACCGTTTCTGTAACGCCAATTGGACGGCGCGGTAGTACTGTAACTATTGAATCAACCTCTTACGAAACTGCAGGAGATTACACTTGCAAAAGCTCCAATTCAGCAGGATTTACAGAACATACAGTTAATCTTTTAGTTAACGGTTTGTTACACAATAAAAATTAAACTCTCTTGCGTATTTTAGTATTTAACTTTTGCTTTGTTAAACCTTATATCTGCCCTTAAAAGTTGACGGTTATTTCAGTTGCCCCAAAAGTTTCTCCTTTTACTTTCGACGAAAATCCCGTGCAAGAAAACGATTTTGTACAGGTTTTTTGTACTGTTCCTCACGGTGATCTACCGTTGAATATTTATTGGCTCTTCAATGGGAAACCTGTACATATTAAATTACAAGAAGTAACGGCTGCTCAAGTGGGAAAACGCAGTAGTTCTTTGACTATAGAATCGGTGACTTACAGAGGTGCAGGGAATTATACTTGCAGAGCTGAAAATAAAGCGGGATCTTCGGATCATACGGTTGCCCTTTTTGTTAACGGTTTGTTTTCTGAACAGTTAATAATTTGTGGTTTATTTTACTCTATCCTGGAACTCCCACTTCCCATTTCCGAGATATAAAATCCCAAGAGGTTTCATCGCCATGGTTCTGAGTATTTATTGTTGAATTAATCCTCTTTTAAAGGTCTTTTTACTTAACTTGATTACATTATCAGTTGCTCCAAAGGTTCTTCCATTTACCTTCGAAGAAAACCNTTTGTGGTTAGTTATTTAGTTTAATAGAAAGAAAAATTACAAATTGTGTATATTTATTAACAGAAAAAGAAAAAGAACGATGAATTGTAATATCAATATACATAAGAAGGATTAAAAAAATGAGCGAGAATGTTATTATTAATCATTTGGGTCACTATAGCCGGATATGATTTCTTGAGAATCAGTCATAATAAACGATATGTCATTTCAAACGGAGTCATTATATCCAAACTTTTCTATAGAGAATTTAATATTAAAACCAAACTTAACACTGCAATTACTTCATATTAAGCGGTTGGTCAATATAGGCGGAGTCATAATAAACGAATTCCACTGTAGTTACATAATTGCACTCTTATATCATTAGAACTAATGAAAAATCCGCTCCTCCATCTGATTTGTTGATCTGGGCTTTTCCTTTTCGTTGTGCATGTATGGCATCCACCATCCACCCCTCCGGTCATTATTTTCAAATTTTAGTTCTGCCACAGATCGCGCCTTTCGATTTCAGTCACGACGAGGCAGCCGTCAATTCTGGCGAGACGGTGACCGCACAGTGTACCGTTTTGAAGGGCGATTCACCCTTAAATTTCAACTGGTCGTTGAACGGTAGGCCAATCGATCCCGATAAAGGTACCACTGTTTTCTCGTTGAAAAGATTCAGCACATTGAGCATTGATTCGGTGGACGACACTCATTCTGGACTATACACTTGTTCGGTCAGTAATTCAGCCGGAGCATCGAGCTATTCCACCACCCTTAATGTCAATGGTACCGATTGAAAAATAATTATTATCACGCTTTCTCTTATACCTACGCAAACGCAATCTTGCATGTGTCATTTTGTTTTCACCTTTTTCAACAATTGCAAATGGTATATAGGTACCTACTGACTGTAGATTGTTGAGAAAGGAGTTACGTATTCGCTCCCCCCTTCCCCCCCATAATTTTTCATCCGTTCCCTTTGTAATATGCTGCAGTGGCGCCGCAAATTTTTCCATTTACATTTGGTGAAGAAGAAATAAATTCGGGGGACACAATTTCTCTTCAATGTACAGTTTCCAAGGGAGACAGTCCTTTAAATATCACTTGGACTTTGAACGGACATCCCATAGTTCCTCATAAAGATGACATTATCATAAGCAACACCAAACGTATGAGTTCTTTGATGATAGAATCCGTACAGGCCAGGCATACCGGAGAATATGCCTGTATTGTTGGGAACATAGTAGGGATGACAAAGTATTCCGCTTATTTGAACGTCAATGGTACCTATCTACCTACTTATTAAATCTGTTTTTTCTTGATAAAATTTTTTCTCCTACCTTGACGAATTTTTCCTTTTTAATTGCATGACGCCCTTATGTGTAGTCCTACCCCAAATTCATCATTTCGATTTTGGCGGAGAACCAGCGGACCAAGGTGAAGCAGTATCTCTTCAGTGTTCGGTTGGTAAAGGCGATTATCCGTTAAACATTTCGTGGACTTTTAACAACGCTCCAGTACCTGAAGGTTTAGGCATTAGCGTGGTACAAGTTTCGAAACGTCTAAGCACCCTCGGTATAGAAAATGTTGATCATATTCACGCAGGCAACTACACGTGTTTAGCATCAAATTTGGCCGGTACAACATCACACACGGCAACGCTATCTGTTAACGGTACTTTGGTTTTTAATTCCTATGTAACTGTGACAATTTCGTTTTTTTTTTCTTTTCACTTCCTGTTTATCATTTTTCCTTGTATATTAGTCGGACCACAAATTGTTCCTTTCAATTTTGGCGAAGATTCTATTAACGAAGGTGAAACAGCTTCGGTCCAATGTACTGTTCTAAAGGGTGATTTACCAATGGATATTATTTGGTACCTGAATAATAAACCCATAGAATACAGCAACGACATTCACACCAGTAAAATAGGGAAGAGGGTTAGTAGTTTGACCATTGATTACGTACACGCTTTACATTCTGGAGAATATAAGTGTGAAGCCTCAAACGTAGTCGCATCTGCAAGCCATACAGCATACCTTAATGTAAACGGTACATCCCAATATAAATTGTATTTTTATCAGGCTTCTTCGTTAATATTTTTCATTATCCTATCCATGCATATATTACCTATAGTGAGTATTATTATCCTAATAGAACTTCCCCAAATCTTGCCGTTTGATTTCGGAGAAGAAGCAGTCAATTGGGGGGATACTGTGGTTACCACGTGTATTGCTAATAAAGGGGATTTCCCTATAAGCTTTCAATGGCTACTAAACGGCAATCCCGCTGAAAGTATCGAAGGAATAATTACTTCGAAAACCAACAAGAAAATAAGCCAATTGACCATAGACTCGGTGCAGGCGCAGCACGCCGGAATGTACACGTGCGTCGCCAAGAATTTTGTGGGATTCTCAAATCACTCAGCTTATTTACGTATTAATGGTAGATCTTTATACAGATATTTGTGTAACATTTTCTCATTTGCGTTTTCCCTGACCTTTATTCTGTCCTTCAAAAAAATATCGTTATACATTAAGAAAGATTTTCTTACGTCGATCTAGTTTTACCGCATATCACCCCATTTGATTTCGATGGTGAAGCTGACACTGGTGATAGCGTTCAACTGACGTGCCATGTAGACAAAGGTGATCCACCGTTAAACATAACGTGGTTTTTAAACGGAGAACGGATAACAACGCGTTATCGTACTTCAGTTACCCCAATCGGTATGAGAATCAGCGTTTTGACCATCAGTGCAGCCACAGCAAAACAAGCTGGAAGGTACACGTGCACGGCTTCAAATGCTGCAGGGTCAGCATCACACAGTTCAACTTTATATGTCAACGGTACAATAAAAATAACCGTACAATATCAACAATTCTCTTGTCTGCGTTGTTATTTTTCGTTTGCATCCTTTTTTCTTTCGAATAACATTTTCTTTTATCCTGGACAGTTTTACCCCATATCGTACCTTTCGATTTCGAAGGAGAAGTGAACACTGACGACAGCGCACAATTAAATTGTTACGTTAGCAAGGGTGACCTCCCCATAAATATAACGTGGTACCTCAACGAAAATATATTGGTAGGACCTCGGTATGGCATATCAGTGCTTCCAATAGGTGCAAGAAGTAGCGTATTGAACATCAACTCTATATCAGCGGAACACGCTGGAACATACACTTGTGTCGCTTTAAATAAAGCGGGATCAGTATCACATTCGGCCATTTTATATGTTAACGGTATTTCTTATATCAAAATTTAATATTTTTTACGTCTATTTTTTTGTTTACTTGCATTCCTATTGTCCTGAAATTTGTCCTTAAAAAAAAGGCAAGATGATTTTGTGGTTTTAGTCCAACCCCAAATTTTGCCTTTCGATTTTGGAGAAGACCCCATAAATGCCGATGATATGGTATCAGTCAGCTGTACTGTTAATAAGGGTGATTTTCCGATGAATGTCACGTGGATGTTAAATTCACAACCTGTGGAAATGTACCAGGGGGTTAATATCATGAAAACTAACAAAAGAATTAGTCAACTTTCAATAGATTCGGTCCAATATGAACATTCCGGACTCTACACCTGTATTGCTTCGAATCTTGCAGGAACATCAACACATTCCGCTTATCTACGCGTTAACGGTATCCATGCCATTACAAATATAAAATATTAGATGTAGTGTTGCAAAGTTTACAATAGTTTTTATTTTTTTTTTTAATTATTTTGAGCCCCCAATTATTTTTCCTTCACATCTTTCTTTGACTCAAGTTGCTCCCAGAGTGTTACCAATTTCGTTCGAAGAAAATCCTGTTCAGTATGACGCTTACGTCATGGTAACATGTTCAGTTCCATCCGGGGATTTACCGCTGAATATATCGTGGATATTAAACGGGAGTCCTTTATACCAACAACCGGGAATTTCGGTAACGGCGATCGGGAAACGTAGCAGCTCTCTCACACTGGAAAATGCATCTTACGAAAGCGTAGGGAGTTACACTTGCAAAGCCCAAAATAAAGTGGGAGAAGATCAACAAACCGCCGAACTATTTGTAAACGGTTCGTTAAAGAAAACATTTAAGGCCTTTTTACGTTTTCTTTTCTTTTGCTTTATAAATTCACCACCCTTTTCTTTCAACCCTCTGAAACTAATTTCATTACCTGTGGCAGTACCGCCGAAAGTATTGCCGTTTACCTTCGAAGAAAATCCAGTTCAGGCGGATGAATTGGTTATGATAACTTGTACAGTACCTCAGGGCGACCTTCCCTTAAATATCACTTGGTTTTTCGAAGAAAATGAAGCAATAAAAGTTTCCGGTATTTCTGTAATTCCTATTGGAAAAAGAGGTAGCACCCTCACAGTGGAATCAGCCTCGTATGAAAGTGCAGGAAACTATACTTGTCGGGGACAAAACGCAGTGGGATACGCTGAATACACTGCAAGACTTTTTGTTAATGGTGTGTGGGACAGTTTTATTTCGTAATTGTTGTTTGCCATTATCCCTACACCTCATTTGGACATTCCTATAGTACCATACCAATTTTAACTCGAATGTTGTTTTTTTTGTATCATTAGTTGCTCCCAAAGTATCTCCATTCACTTTTGACGAAAACCCTGTACAAGCTGGCCAATTTTTCCAAGTGCTTTGCACAGTGCCACACGGGGATCTACCCCTCAATATAACGTGGTTGTTTAACGGCGCTCCAATAGGATTTTCACATGGTACTTCTATAACTTATGTAGGAAAACGAAGCAGCTCTTTAATTGTAGAATCGGCTACGTACAAAAACACAGGAAATTATACTTGCAGGGCGGAAAATCAAGTTGGGTACTCGGAATATACAACAACATTATTTGTTAACGGTTTGTAAAAAGCTTTGTAATCCATGCTTAGTTTTGTTGCTTATCGTTTTGTTCTTAACTTTCCCATACTTGAGTTACCCTTTATTCCTATCAAAATCATAAAAAAAATAGAAAAATGTGATAAAAACTCTAAATCATAACTCTTTTAGTAACTTAATGCCTTTTCTATTGGGCGCGACGAAAACGAAAGGGTTAGAAGCGTTTGAAATTTGGTGTTAAAATAGGAAAACAGGGGTTACTATGGTCAATTAGAAATAGGCGAAATATATTGGTAGGACACCTTCTCAGGCATGAAGGGCCAATTAGAGACATATTAGAAGTAGAAACAGGAGTTAAGAGGAGTAGAGGTAGTCCTAGATTAGACTATTAGCTTTAGGGAAATGCGAAGATTAGCTCAGGATAGGAAAGAGTGAAGGTGCGTGTGCAACCAGTTTTAGGACTGACGACCTTATGATGATGACGATGATGATAAGCTAAGACTTTGCTTGTGTTAATCGTGTGGTAGGAAGACGTAAGCTATGTCATCACTGTAAATGTCCCAAAATGACGAAAATTTGTAAATGTTTGACGAAATTTCGAAATATATACATAATAAGATTTTTAGTTCGATATTTTTGTAACATATGCGTAGTTGTTCCCAAGGTGTTACCGTTTACATTTGAAGAAAATCCGGTACAGACGGACAGATTTGTGCAAGTATCGTGTACAGTTCCCGAGGGTGATTTGCCTTTAAATATATCGTGGTTATTTAATGGTAATCCCGTATCAAAAATTGGTGGAGTTGTTGTAACACCTCTTGGAAGAAGAGGGACGTCGTTAATCATAGAAACTGCATCGTACGATAGCGCTGGCAACTACAGTTGTAGAGCCGAAAACCAAGTCGGTTATTCCGAACATACCGAAATACTTTATGTTAATGGTTTGTTAACATCATCACTCAATTATTATTTCCTAAGCTTTTTTTTATGTTTCCAAGTCCAAATCCTACCGTTTTAACTCCCTCTGTTTTAATTACAAAACCCACCAGTTGCTCCACGAATACTTCCGTTTAATTTTGAAGAGAACCCTGTACAAACCGACGATTACATCCAAATTTTATGCACCGTCCCGCATGGCGATTTACCTCTAAAAATTTTTTGGATTATTAACGGGAAAGAGGCAGCCCAGGACGTACAAATAACTAAATCTAAAAGAAGCAGTTCACTCACTATCGAAACGATTACGTACGAAAATGCCGGAAATTATACTTGCAGAGCCGAAAATGCAGCTGGTTATGACGAACATACAGCCATACTTTTCGTAAATGGTTTGTTATTACACATGTATTACGTATGATTTAATTTGCTGTCCTTATTTCACCCTTAACTTAATATCCCTGAGCTAATTTTTTCTTACGGTTAGTACTGGTATGTTCTGCTCAGTTTCTCCACGAGTTCTTCCATTCGATTTCGAAGAAAATCCGGTACAGTCGGAGGAATTCATCACTGTCGTTTGTACGGTTCCCCAAGGAGATTTTCCTTTAAATATTTTTTGGATATTTAACGGAAGAAAACTTACAAATGAACCGGGAATTTTGATAACTTCCATTGGAAAAAGAAGTAGCTCTCTAACAATCGAATCGACTTCTTTCAAGTCTGTAGGAAATTATACCTGTAAGGCTGAAAACAAAGTCGGATTTGCTGAACACACGACAGCCCTATTCGTTAACGGTTCGTAAGTTACGTTTTGAAATCCTGGTTTGCTTATTAATTGCCTTGTATGTTTTGTATAACTATCCCAACCGCTCCACCCAACATAGCGTAATAGATTAAATTTAATTTTGGCAGTCTCCCCAAGAATCTTGCCAATATCCTTTGAAGAAAACCCCGTTCGAGCCGAAGAATATGTGACCATACTGTGTACCGTGCCTCAGGGTGACTTTCCCTTGAATATTTCGTGGTATTTTAATGGTAAAAGCATTCCCGAATCACTCGGAATTCATGTTATGAAAAACGGCAAAAGAAGTAGCTCGTTGACCATTGAAACTGTATCCCACAAACACTCGGGAAACTACACGTGCAAAGCACAAAATAAAGTGGGTTTTGAAGAGCAATCTGCGACCCTATTCGTTAATGGTTTGTCTCGCTCAATCGCTATCATTATTTTGTTCTTCTTGAGTTGTACTTTTCCTCCTTTTTTTTGAACCAACCAAATCCGAAGGTGGTGAATTCTTCGTTCAAAAAAAGTTATTTCTTCTGAACAGTAATGCCGAGAGTCCTGCCCATATCCTTCGAAGAAAATCCCGTTCAAGCGGGCGAATATGTGTCCGTATTTTGCTCCGTACCTCAAGGAGACTTTCCTTTGAACATATCATGGATTATTAACGGCATGCACATTTTAAATTCCGATATTACCGGAATAACCGTTACCAGTGGTGGGAAAAGAAGTAGTTCTTTGAGTATCGACACGGTTTCTTACGAACATATCGGAAATTACACTTGTCATGCAGAAAACAGAGCAGGTTCCGAAGAACAAACGGCTGTTCTTTTCGTAAACGGTTTGTCTTTGTTTAATTTTTGTTTGCCCAAGTGTCCTTTCATTAAAATTCTCCCAATTTCATCCTATAGTTGCACCAAAAATTTTACCGATTTCGTTCGAAGAAAATCCGGTCCAAGCCGGCGGATACGTTTCCGTGTTATGCTCGGTACCTCTTGGAGATTTTCCTTTAAACATCTCGTGGTATTTCAATGGGAAGCCCATCTCGGACGTCTACGGGATAACAGTTGCAATGGGAGGAAGAAGAAGCAGTTCTTTGAGTATAGAATCGGCTTCGTACGAACATGCTGGCAATTATACATGCAGGGCTGAAAATGTAGTCGGTTTTGCCGAACAAACTGCCAAACTATTTGTTAACGGTTAGATAATACTTGTTGAATTTCTTTTTTTTCTGTTTGTTGATCCAATCCTTTAGTCGCTCCCCGAGTATTGCCAATTTCTTTCGAAGAAAATCCAGTCCAGGCTGGCGAGTACGTCACAATAACTTGCACCGTTCCCCAAGGGGATTTACCGCTGAATATTTCTTGGAAATTTAATGAAATTCCCGTTGAAGGCGACTCTGAAATATCAGTCACTATTAACGGAAAACGGAGCAGTTCTTTGACGATCGATTCGGTCTCTTATAAAAATTCAGGAAATTATACGTGCAGGGCCGCAAATAAAGTAGGATTCGCCGAGTACCAGACTTCCCTTTTCGTTAATGGTTTGTCTATTTCGGCTCCTATTTTTACAATCCTTTATTTTTTCTGTCCTTGCCTGTTTTATCCACCCCATTGTTAATTTACAGCAGCAGTTGTCGATCATTCCGTAACAATTAACCTGGTCGGGAAATCTAGCTAAACTTTACAAGGAAAAAAATAACAGTATCATTTATTCTGGGAACTTTTTTTTCTAGTTCTTCCCCGCATAGTACCGTTTGATTTCGGGGATACTCCCGTTTTTGTGGGTCAAACAGCACAAGTTACGTGTCTTATCTCATCTGGTGATTTGCCGTTAAACATCAGTTGGATGTTGAACGGCAGGCCTTTAGAGAACGACGAGAAAGATTTAAAAATAACGATAACCCAGATCGGTAGGAAGGGGAGTTTGCTCTACATAGACGCAGTCGGGGAGAAACAGGGTGGAAATTACACTTGCAGCGCTAAGAATAAGGCAGGCCAGGTTCAATATACCGCTTCATTATTCGTCTACGGTACTCGATTATTCTCGACTTTGTTGGTTTGCAATCCTTAGTTTCTATCCTTGATTGTCTAATAACACACAGAAAACTGACATTGATGCACTTTAAAAATATTATTCCATAAGAGCACACAATTAAGTTTAACAAAATAGAAAGGACAGCACGTACTGTTTAACTTGGAAGGTCTTCTTTACAAATATTTCTTCTAATAAATAAATANAAGACTTTTTGTTAATGGTGTGTGGGACAGTTTTATTTCGTAATTGTTGTTTGCTATTATCCCTACACCTCATTTGGACATTCCTATAGTACCATACCAATTTTAACTCGAATGTTGTTTTTTTTGTATCATTAGTTGCTCCCAAAGTATCTCCATTCACTTTTGACGAAAACCCTGTACAAGCTGGCCAATTTTTCCAAGTGCTTTGCACAGTGCCACACGGGGATCTACCCCTCAATATAACGTGGTTGTTTAACGGCGCTCCAATAGGATTTTCACATGGTACTTCTATAACTTATGTAGGAAAACGAAGCAGCTCTTTAATTGTAGAATCGGCTACGTACAAAAACACAGGAAATTACACCTGCAGGGCGGAAAATCAAGTTGGATACTCGGAATATACAGTCATTTTATTCGTTAACGGTTTGTCACTAGATATTATAATTATTGTACAACCCTTTTTTTATTGTTTTATATGCCCTCTAAATCAATCCTAAAAGTTTCATTTTTTCCCAGTTCCCCCAAAAGTTTCGCCGTTCGATTTCGAAGAGAATCCGGTTCAAGCTGAAGAATCTGTTTTTGTAACTTGCGCCGTTACACAGGGCGATTTCCCACTGAATATATCGTGGTTGTTTAATGGATATCCTGCATCTAGTATGCCAGGTTTATCCGTAACTCCGATAGGCAAACGCGGTAGCACATTGACTATAGAATCGGCCTCGTATCAAACAGCAGGAGATTACACTTGCAGGGGTGAAAACGAAGCGGGTTTCGCAGAACATTCTGCGATCCTATTCGTCAATGGTTTGTGAGTCAAATTTATAATCAGCTTATTTAGCCTTTAAAACCCTTGACCCTAAACTTGACCTGTGCCTATAAATTAAAAAGTAACGCATACGACTTTATGTGTTTCTAGTTGCCCCGAAAGTACTACCCTTCACGTTCGAAGAAAATCCGGTTAGGGCTGAACAATTCGTACAGGTTTTTTGCACGGTACCCCACGGCGATTTACCATTAAATATCAGTTGGATATTTAATGGTGGTCCCATATCTGAATTGCACGGAACAACGGTGTCAAACGTTGGTAAAAGGAGTAGTTCTCTTACCATAGAATCAGTTTCGCACAAAAGTGCTGGGAATTACACTTGCCGAGCTCAAAACCAAGTTGGTCTTTCTGAATATATGTCCACACTGTTTGTAAACGGTTTGTCAAATTGATATTAGAAAATGGTCCGGTTTCTTTCTTGCGTTCTATTTTTCTTTTAATCTTCTTTTCCTGTAACAGTATCTCCAAATATTAATCCATTCGATTTTGATCAAAATCCCGTTCGGTTCGGAGAAGTTGTGATGGTAATGTGTACGGTGCCCCAAGGAGACCTTCCCTTAAATATTTCGTGGTATTTTAATAAACAACCTACAGGAAAGTATCCAGGCTTATCAGTAACGCCAATTGGGAAACGTGGAAGCACCTTAACCATAGAGTCAGCTTCTTATGAAACTGCCGGAAGTTACACTTGTAGAAGTGATAATTCTGCAGGATTTGCAGAACATACAGTAGATCTTTTCGTTAATGGTTTGTCATTACAAAAATTTCTTTTTGTATGCTTAAATCTTCCTCATACCAAACACAACCTGTTCCTAACGAAATGAATTTATCGCATAGGATTTTTTGGCCCAAAGAATTTTGTGCTTATAGATACATTTTCTAGATTTTAAAAACGAAATAACGTTTACTATATTATAGTTAATTAATTTCTTAGTATCTCCAAAAATTAGTCCTTTTGATTTCGACCAAAACCCTGTTCAGTCTGGCGAAGTTGTTATGACAACGTGTACGGTACCTCAGGGTGATCTTCCCCTAAATATCACGTGGTTTTTCAATGGAAAACCACTGATACAACATTCTACCGTTTCGGTAACGCCGATTGGACGGCGTGGTAGTACTTTAAATATTGAATCAGCATCGTACGAAACTGCCGGAAGTTACACTTGTAGAAGTGATAATTCAGCAGGATTTGCAGAACATACAGTAGATCTTTTCGTTAACGGTTTGTCTTTACAAAAATTATTTTGTGTATGCTCCAAACACCCTCATACCAAACATAATCGCATTAACCTACTGTCCCTTACAAAATTAATTAGTCGTGTAAGAATTATCTGCCGAAATCTTTACTAAGTTACTCTTTATTAATTTCTTAGTACCTCCAAAAATTAGTCCTTTTGATTTCGATCAAAATCCTGTTCGATCTGGCGAAGTTGTTATGGCGACATGTACGGTATCTCAAGGTGATNGGTTTCAGGTACTATTGCCCCCGCCCGAGAAATCCCCAAAGAGGACACTATCCACATGATCTTGGCCAACCTTAACCTAGTAGTACCTGTTACCATATCTAAGCAATGGGACCTTTATAATGTCACATTTTGGTTTACATTTTCATTATATTTAAATTTTAATTAAAATTTCAGAATGTGAGAAACGTTAAAGGTTTCATTGAGAAATAACAAATTTTTTTGAAATTTCGTTTTGAAAAGTCGTGTACTTGAAAAAAAGTAATTCTCAAAATTTCGTTTCGAAAAAAATCATGCATGCTTACAAAAACTTTAGCTTTCAAGGAACTATTGATCCTAATCGGACGAAATTTTTTAGTACCGCCGAGGTGGATCCAAGAACCAATTGATAAAGCATTTGCTCAAGGTTCTGACGCTAAAGTTGATTGTAAAGCTGATGGCTTTCCCAAACCAACAGTAACATGGAAAAGAGCAACAGGTAAAATCGTAAATCAATAGGTGTCTACGTAGACCGATCACGTATTCGTTCTGTAGGTGATTCGCCCGGCGATTATAAAGATTTCAAACCTAACAATCCAAACGTAAAGGTAGAAGATGGAACGTTAATGATTACTAATATTCAAAAACATAACGAAGGTTATTATTTGTGTGAGGCTGTTAATGGCATTGGTTCAGGTTTATCTGCCGTCATACAAATTAGTGTTCAAGGTACTTTACTCTCAAACAATATTTTGTATTTTCGGCTATGGTATCGTCAATTTTTTAGCCCCTCCTCAGTTCGATATTAAACTTAGAAATCAAACGTCTCGCCGTGGAGATCCAGCTGTTTTACAATGCGAAGCGAAAGGCGAAAAGCCCATAGGAATTTTGTGGAACATAAATAATAAACGTTTAGAACCAAAGGGAAATTCTCGCTACACCATTCGCGAAGAGATTCTTCCCACTGGTGTTCTTTCTGACTTGAGTATTAAACGAACTGAACGAAACGATTCGGCCCTTTTCACTTGTGTAGCTACGAATGCATTTGGAAGTGATGATACAAGCATTAACATGATCGTTCAAGAACCGCCAGAAACACCATATGGATTGAAAGTTTTGGACAAATCTGGTAGATCAGTGGAATTATCGTGGGTCGCCCCATATGACGGAAACTCACCCGTTAAGAAGTAAATTCTTTCGATATTTGTCTCCTTCGTTTGGCCTTCTAAATTTTTGTATTATTAGGTACACTATCGAATACAAACAGAGCAAATCGAGTTGGGAAGCGGGCACAGAACGAGTGTTGGTACCTGGAGAACAAACCGAGGCAGGAGTTTACACCTTGAAACCGGCCACCACGTATCATATTCGTATCGTAGCCGAAAACGAAATTGGTTCTAGCGACCCGTCTGATACTGTGACTATTATCACGGCCGAAGAATCACCTGGCGCTCCACCGACATCAATCCGCGTCGATGACAGTGATCAGCATTCTCTAAAAGTCTTCTGGAAACCACCACCCAGGTCCGAATGGAACGGAGAAATTCTTGGCTATTATGTCGGCTATAAACCTGCTTCTTCTGACAAGCCTTTCCTCTTTGAAACCGTCGAATTTAGTCGCGAAGAAGGAAAAGAACATCATTTACAGGTGCTCTTTTCTTTTTGTTTTTAGGTCTTGATTTTTTCCATTAACGTTCGTTAAATTCTCCTTTAGATTACCAATTTGAAGACCTACACTCAATACTCTATCGTCGTTCAAGCCTTTAACAAAGTCGGTGCTGGTCCCATGTCGGAAGAAATCAAAGCGTATACCGCTGAAGGAACCCCAGAACAGCCACCCCACGATACCATTTGCACCACCTTAACCGCCCAAACGATCAGAGTGTCATGGACATCGCCCCCTCTTAACACTGCCAATGGTGTTATCAAAGGCTACAAAGTTATTTACGGTCCCTCTGACTCCTGGTTTGGTAAGTAATGAACGCGTTCATCCACTACCTATCCCAGAATTAGTGTTTGAATTCTTCTATTTGTAGACGAAAATACAAAGGATACCAAAATTACTGCTTCATCCGAGACAATCTTACACGGACTTAAGAAATATACCAACTATAGCATGCAAGTGCTTGCATATACATCTGGTGGCGATGGTGTACGAAGCAACCCAATTCATTGTCAGACAGAGCAAGATGGTATAGCTCAAGTGTTGTGGGTACACTAAATTTATTTATATTATTTGTGTGGTTACAGTTCCAGAAGCTCCTGTTGCTATCAAGGCCTTGGTGATGTCTTCTACATCGATTTTGGTCAGTTGGAAACCGCCGGTAGAACCCAATGGTATTGTGGAGCAATATACAGTTTATGTTCGTGAAGCTGGTCAGGCCGAAAGTGACGAACTCAACACCGATTCGAAACCACGATCCCAAAAGATTGTTCCGAACATCAGAAATCAAAATCTGAGTTATCAAGCCAAAGATTTGGATAGCAAACTGAAATACGAATTTTGGGTTACCGCATCAACCAACATTGGAGAAGGGCAACCTTCAAAGAGCGTCATTGTAGCTCCTAGTACCAGAGTTCCTGCGAAAATTGCTTCATTCGATGACTCGTTCACCACCACCTACAAGGAAGACGTGACCCTTCCCTGTCTAGCTGTCGGAGTACCACAACCTGAGATAGTTTGGAAAATAAAGGGGGTCGTATTTACCACCAACGATCGTATACGACAACAACCCGATGGATCACTTTTTATTCGTGATGTAACTCGAACCGATGCCGGCGAATATTCTTGCAACGTTGAAAATTCTTTTGGTCAAGACAGCGTCACCCACCAACTAATCGTCTATTCACCTCCGCATTCACCTTTGGTAAGTGTTTTAAATACTTCAATCGTCTTTTTGATAATAATCTACTTCTTCTTTAGGTAACTTTGACGTCCACGACCACAAATTCTTTGACAATCAAACTGAAACCTCATCCTGACGACAGCGAACCCATTCATGGATATACCATTCACTATAAGCCTGAATTCGGGGACTGGGAAACGACGCAGGTGGCCAGCCACACTACCAAATTCAATTTAGAAAATTTACTTTGTGGTACCAGATATCAGCTCTACGTCACGGCATACAATAGGTAACTAATAATAAAAGTTCAAGTTAACAAATTAGGAAATAATCCTGACGCTTAATAATGACTTGATTCTTTTAGTATTGGAACTGGAGATCCATCTGACATTTTAAATACTCGTACTCGTGGAGATAAACCCATAATCCCAACAGCAGACAAATTTATCGAGGTTTCCTCTAACAGTATCACCCTACACTTAAGTGCTTGGTCTGATGGGGGTTGTCCTATGCTATACTTCGTAATTGAACACAAGAAGAAGTATTCCCTTTTTGATAGATATTTTATTCGCCCATATTATAATGTGCTTGTTCTAGGACTAGTTCAGAATGGATCCAGGTATCAAATAATGTAAAGCCAGGTGGTAATTTTGTGGTATTGGATCTTGATCCTGCCATTTGGTATCACCTTCGTGTCACCGCTCATAATAATGCTGGCTTCAACGTTGCCGAATACGAATTTGCTACTTTAACTGTTACTGGAGGTAAATATTTAGTTATTAAGTCTTTATTTATGAATGTTCTCATGCTTATAAGATTTAATTAATGGTTATTGCACGAGGTAGATGTTCTCGCTTTATATATTGTGGTGTTATTGTACATTTTAATTTTCAAATACTTTGTTTGCTTGTTTATTTATTATTTAATTATTTATTTCAGTGGCAAAGTATAGAATGGACTTTTTTGTTATATAATTTTGATCAGTGTATCCTGTAGCCAGTGTCTTAGTAGCAATAGTACCTGAAAATTACTAAATGTTGCCTGTTAATAATTGATTGTTTGTTAGTGTACGTGAGAGAGACGAGCCTTGCTTTCGGTTTCAGGTACTATTGCCCCCGCCCGAGAAATCCCCAAAGAGGACACTATCCACATGATCTTGGCCAACCTTAACCTAGTAGTACCTGTGGTATCTGCCGTCCTAGTCATTATTGTCGCTATTATCGTCATTTGTGTGCTTCGCGGCCGCGGAAACTATCACAAAGGTAAATTATTAACGTCTTTCTCCGAGTTTTCTTACGTTTTTCAGGAACCATCCCACCGGTTAGAGAGGCTCCGGATGTCAAGATGCTTTTCCCTTGGCTACCAGATTGGATTGATTTAAATCTTCTCGTACCCTTAGTGGCTACAGTCACTGTTATCATCGTAGGAATTGTCGTTATCTGTGTGGCCATGACGAGGAGGTCACAAAGCATGCCCCAGACCCGTTTAAGAAGCGACTGTATGTCTTAAAAAATTACTCTATTTTCAGGAACACCGTCGGAATTGTTCTGGAGCAATTTTAATCTTATAGCAAATTTAATTGATTGCAATGTTAGGCAGAAATACGAATTGGCTTTTATTTACAATAACCCAACCAGTGTTACTGGGTACTTTCTTTATATAATCCCTGAGTAGGAGGAA